AGATCTGCCAAGACAGAGCCTGAGCTTCCATCGCAATTTTAGAACGTGTAATTACAGAGACATGTACGTTGTATATTTAAACATAATCCAAAACTGTAATGTGCGGGTATATGCCATATTGAATTGATAATGTTCCGTGATACCAGGCCCATTTTAAGTCTGTCAAATGGCAGAGATTTATGAAAATAAAATATAACGTCTTCTATTTACGACTCCTTAGGTAGAATCATTAAATTTATGGATGACCAGCAGTCGTCATAAATCAGTCTCTTACTTGCTTGCAGCTACACTTGGCTTTTTTTTTTTCTTTTTACTTCTTCAACTGCTCATTCTTTCATTTTTTTTTAAAGAAAAAAGTCAACAGGCTTTACTCTGGGTAACTTTTTTTTCTTCTGTGTTTTTTCTGATATATGTAAAAAAAAAAGAGCCATGTTTTCCTGTTATGGGTTTCCCCCTCTACTTAAGAAAACTAAATGAAGTACTAAATAAGTGATTGCTTGTGAGATTACATTTGACAGCATATGTAATATTTAAAAACGATTTTTTTTTTTTTTAGTCTCCACGTTTTTAGTAATGCGAAGAAAATAAACACCAAACCAAATCGCACTGCCATTACGATTAAGAGCTGCCGCATCAACGTAAACATCTCTCCTACTCTGGTTCTGTTACTCATCAGTTACACATAAAAGAGCTAAACCCTTCATATACAGAGAACATATTTCAGACACTGACAATTTAAAAAGCATTCTCTGAAAACTCAGTGTCTTTAAAACAGTTACATGTGTCTGGACTGTTTCATTTTTTTGGGTGCGACACTTTAAGTGGATCTTGTAGGTGGGGGGGGGTTAGAAAAAAAAACAAACATTTACGTAAACATCATCACTCTGTCATGCTATTGCTTTTGTCAAATGTTTGTCTCCAATGCACGGAGCAGAGCTCATTTGTAAAGCGAGGCTTGCTTGGGAGGCACGTTACTGACAGTCCTTATTTGGTCCGAAAAATTCACATTACCCCTTCTCACAAAAATAACTCAAGTCTGTTGACGTGACTACCTTGGGAAACAGGACCACACACACACGTCAGGAAGGACAAATTGGAGCAACTGCTGCACATTCCCCACTTCTCATTACACTTTAATGAGCACTTGCATCTTGTGCAATAAGAGGCCAGTGTGTAAACCAGGTAAGAAAGGAATACAAAATCCATCATGGGGAACTTTAGGATAAAATGTTGAAGGATTTGCTCTCAAAGATTTAGTCTCTAAAGATCTCATTAACCTGTGACCTTGATTTATCTTAAGGTTCTAAAAATAGCACAGACAGAAATAATGGCTTATATCTTGAGTTGATCTGACTTATGTCCAATGGCTTATATCTTGAGTTGATCTGACTGAAAGTTTTAACTTCCAGTAAATCAAGTAGTAATGCCTGCACACTCACTTTCACTTTTCAAGTCATTTTTGTTGGCTGTTTAGCTACAAAAAAGAAAGAAACGAATGGATTATTTATCATCACGCCACCTCTACGGTGCACATATGAAAACATACTTAAGAGCAGTGGTGCTCAACCCCTGGGCCGGGTCCGGCTGGCCCAGGGGTTGTAAGCACATTGCACAGCTTACATTATTTCCATTGTATTTATTATCTGATTCTGAATGACGTTTTATTTTTCGAAAAATGAACTAAAAACAAAAAACGTCTTTGAAAAGTATCTTTGATTCTTTCTTTGTTCTTCGTTCTGCATTAAAAGACAAGCGCGATGATACAAGGATGCTGCTAATATAGTTGCATACACAGTGGTTTATTATGATACATAGAAAATACCAGTCTTTATGCCGGTCGTATCATTTTAATTAGTTGTATTTATCTGCCGGTCAGTGAAAAAAAAAAAAATCAGACATTTAACTGGTCCTTGGCGCAAAATAGGTCGGGGACCAATGCTTTAGACTCTTACTTGGAAAAACATGGAGATCAACCCACACCTGTCCTAGAATGTGTATACATGGCACATGAAATCTAACCTGAACCCTGTATTCACAGACACAACAAATCCTGCATATTACTGGGATAAATACCGCAAACGCATCTCAACCGATGACAATATTTGGGTAATATTTGGCAAGAACCAACAAATCACAGTGTCATGCACAACAAGTTCCAGTTATAGAACCAATCTTACCTGTCTTGGTGTTAATGGCAAAGAAACCCTGGGGGTTGCCGCTGGTGATCCTGTATGTGAGTTTATCACTGGCCTGGTCATCTGGATCCACTGCATTTATCTTAATGATTGACACATCTTTAGGGGAATTCTCCATGGCAGACGGGTAGTAGACAGGTTCGGAGGATTGCGGTGCATTGTCGTTAACGTCCTGCACTTCAATGAAAACCTCTACAAAGGCTGAGAGCGGTACCACACCACGGTCCATGGCGTAGACGGTGAGCCAGTAGTGAGGTGTGGTCTCACGATCCAGCAGTTCCTGGGTTCGAATAACACCTAAAAGATGAAACAGATGAAGAAGACATTCTTGAGTCTGCATTATATGAATGATTGTTTTTTGTTTTTTTTTTTCTATGACAAGCTCAAAATGGCACATTGTTATTAGCTGCCCCATACGGTCATAATGGGTTGCTGAAACCCACTGCAGGTTATATATATATTGACAACAGCCAGACAAGGCTTTGTTTACATTCACTCCCAGGGATGTTTTGTTGAGCTGTTATATGGGGGGGCTGTAGATTTCAGCTGAAAAACAAAGGGCTTTCAGAAACACATGAGTCTTGTTGGTTTACAGTGGTTAAATGAAGGGGAGGATGGGCAGACAGCAAATTTAGAGGAACTGAAAGGAAAGGGATTAAGAGGACATCCGTAGTTGTGAGCCCGGACGATAACTAGCTAAAAAAAAAAAAAGTTTTATAATTTGATCAGTTATGTGGTTGACTGTTTTATCTGTCGACGCTGGTTAATAAGTTTAAATGTAGGAAACAGGCAAGAACTGTGACAATTTTTGGTCTCTATTAAAAGAGCAAACAGCAACGTTTACAGACATGTATTCACTTCACTTCTTTTAAGACAGTTAAAAGGTACTAGGTGTATATATACGGGGTTCTGGGAGAGAGCAAGTACAGCAGCCATAGAAGGTCGGTCAGTGAAACTATTAAAAAAAGGTTTAATATAATTTATTAAAATTGTAATGCACCAGAAATGAATGTTTATATAATGAAAAGTCAGACTCTTTTACAAGGCAGCTTCCTTTCTCAAACTAAATTTGTGTATGTTTTTCTTACTGTACACAAGAAAAGAAAAAAACGGCGATTAAACTGCAAAACAACAAGTTGCTATGAGTTACTTTATTATTGCTGCTAACTCATATCAGTGTCGCTGCGGCAGCAGCACTGCCACTTGCCCCCTACCATATTGTTATGTATTTATTTGCAAACAGTCATGTAAAAAGGCCTACACATCAGCAACATTTATTTCCATAATACTGCAATGATGACATCTGAATAGACTTTGGAATTTTATAGAATGATTTTATAATCTAAAGAAGAAGTATGAGAAGTAAGATTATTTTTATATTTTTAAACCCTGTTTGACTCTTTTATGCAGCATTAGAAGACATTGACTCAGAATCCATGAGATCCTTTATACTCACTGTTGCCCCACATAAAAAAAACACTCCATGACTTTACACACCAAAATCATATTTCAAAGGTTTAAATGGATTACATTCAGTGTCTTTTTTTTTACTGCTGCCGCTGCCTTTGTTCCCGCACTGGGACTTAAAAAAATGAAAAGGAGTTTAACCTAAACAGCTAAACTTCCTGCCTTGGGTCATAACAATTTTTTAGAAACCATATGCAAATTAGATTCCATAAAAATATCACATTTACCATAACAGGGTGAGTTTAGGGTTTTAACAAGTATATACCCCCCCCGGCCTGTTCGACAATAACATCCCTGCAGTTTCAATCTGGGATGCTTTCATGTCATTACTACAACACTCAATCAGGTATTTTCAAAATTCTCAAGTTCTTTGTTTTTATACCAATAACCGTTCCATAAAGAAATGTGCGCTGTTAACAAAGAGTGACACTAAATTTGTCAAAGAAACATGGGACCAGTCATTAGACATCATTCAAATTTGCCATTACAAAAAATATTTTAACAATGTCCAAATTAGGGAGAAAAAAAACCAGAAGTGAAGAGCATTGGGTAGGAAGCCATCTTTGGTTTTTTTTTTTCCTCTCTTTTTTAAGGAGATGCTCGAGGTTATTTGCTCATCTGTATTACTGGCAGACACCGACATGGCAGACAATTACCCTTTTACAAGGGTCATGGTTTTTGCTTCTGGCTTTGGCTTTGTATCCATCTCCACACAACACCCCTACAACCACTGTATCAACTACTGATGCTGTAGGAATGATACCATTTACACTTGCCACGCATCAATGTCAAATGGCATGCTTAAGAAAGAGATAGAAAATAGGACATAAAAATAGGATTTAATAAAAAAACAGGCATACGTGACCTTAAACATATTAAATCCTAAGCCAAAAATGTAGGTTACAAGATGGTAACAAAGCACTGTTAGGTAGGTTACAAGATGGTAACAAAGCACTCGAAAGGTGAAGCTAAGGAATTTAGTAGCCACACCCATCACATGCACCTATCCTCCTGAGAAAAGCAGGAACAAAACCAACCCTGAGGCTAAAAAAAAAAAACAGTGCCTCTGCCAGATTTCCTTTTTGTCTTTTTCCCCCGTTCCTTGTCTTTTCCTCTGGCTTTGTTCCTTTAAGTTACTTGAGCACAGTGGCCGTCAGTTGTAATCCCAGGACAGGCAGATCTTGTCAGTGGAGGGAATAACTTTACATACGGGGGGACACACATACCAGTTGAGTACGGAGACACAATGGTATAGAGCATTCTATGAAAACCTTTGCTTGCAGCAAAGCCTGTTGGCAACAATATGAGGAGGGTGAAATTTGCTTTGGCGAGGCTGCGGGAAAAATTGTTCACTGCATGTCACAACTTGTCTGCTGAAATAAAGTGTGTGCTGATGAAGCAAAATCACAATGCACAATTGTTGACTTTTCCAGACACAGTGACTACCCTTTGACAATCAATAGTTGACGGAGAAAACGTTTATACTTCAGTCACTTAGCCTTTCCTGGGCTGGATATATGGGGCTTTGAAGTTCCTCTGCTAATTCTGCTCACCCCTACCCCACATTCCACAGCCGTCTCAAGCCTCTAGCTCACATGCCTGCATAAACTTTCTCAGTATCCCCCTCCCCCATCCACCTTTCTCTTTCCACAGCCCTGGCAAAATGCTTCAAATTCCACCACCAAACTGTAGGCAGTCGTGTTATAGAAGAAGTCCTCCACTGGGCTTTGTGTTACCCAGCAACCTACTGTCACATCATCCCAAATATCCCAGACATCTGTATCTAAGATCCAAAAAGGACTGCTGGGATTAGTCTTTTATAACTTCGCAAAAGGGAGGATTTCAAAGTGAAGAAAAAGGAAAATTGCTGTTTGCTTTTCTTTAGAAGTGCCCGTAGGATTTACCCGGCTTTATCAATTCAAAGATGATTTTAACTGGCATTTGATCAGACTTAAATCAAACCTACATTAACTGGCTGTATTTCAGCCCTGTTACTCCATGGCTGTATTGGACAACCATTTCCAAGTCTGATTTCTGTTTTGATATTATCTGTTGGCTGCAAGAAATTACAATCCCCTCTTTATTGTTTGTTTTTTTGCAATCTAAAAATCAATTTTTTAAAGCCACAAGAGGTCATGAGACGGAACGGAAAAGCCTTAAAGGAACTGTAATGAGGATGCAGTATGACAGCATATCCATGTGCAGCGCACGTCTACCTTAATATCCACAACAAACAATTACAGCATATGGAGCCATTCCCACTTCATGCATCGCTGTACAACGTGTATACAGTTATTACTAGGAGAAAAATATCCGTCGACTAGTAGCTTTTGGGAGCGTGTACTTAAGGCAGCTCTATCATTTTAGCAGCCTAACCATGGGGAACGCCAATGCTCTGTATCGGTGTAATATCATTGTAGTTATTTTGTAGTAACGCATATATACATTTTACTGCTGGTTCCTATAACAACGATTTTTTTCAACATAATAAATCATCAAGAAATAAAATCCCCAGGAGGATGTTTTGTGTCTACAATCCCTGATATGTCTACAATATAGTTGTTGTCGATGTAAGGGATTTTCTTTTCACTTGACGCCGACAATACAAAACTTCCTTTGTGTCTAAAAACACATCCGAGGCCTTGGTAAAGCCAGATGATTTCCAATGATTAAATATCATATAATTATTGGAAGCTTTTGCTTAAGCTGTCCTAGAGCTGAAGAACCGACTGCCAGTGTATCTTATTACAAAAGCTATATCAACAGACAATAATACTATGCCACTTGGCTCATATGAAAAATACATATTTATTTATTTCAGCCAGTATCCTCTTTCCTAAAGGTTGAACAAACACCAACAACCTCTCCAGGACAACAAAAGGTGACTAAATATCCACATGACGTCTCCTACATTTCACTCCAGTGAGCATGACACTACACCATGCTGGCTTTCCACCTGTCTTTTCTATTTTTATTGTTAACCGCAGAGCAAAATAAAAAGAGAGTGGATTTTCCTATTTAGAAGGTGAACCTATTATGGTTCAACAACATGCAAATCAATGACATGTGAAGCTATGTGTTTATAGACATTGAATCATTTTATATATATACTATAAAGTTCTAAATATACTGCATAGCTCTATGTATACTGCATAACTTAATATAACTGTGTAATACAAAATAATACATGCACTATACAGTGTCTTTGAACTGGATTTACTGTATAATTTTAATTCAGATACTTGATCTTAATGTCATCATGACGTGAATTAACACACAATGAAGCATGTTTTGTGCAAAAGGGGAGCCTCAAGTTTCTTTAAAAAGATTAAATGGACTGAGAGACCAACATACTTTTAACTAGGGGAAGTGTGTTTTTCATTTAGCAACCTACAATCAACTTTGTCCCTCTGCACATTCCCTGCTTGGTATCCACAGTAACGGCACCCAAGCAAAGACTATTTGGAATCATGTGCCACACTCCAGTCCCACTTTTAACATATAGCTTGGTTTCCTGTGGTAAGGGCTCTTTAGTTTTTCCCCTGTCGCACTGCCATAATGTTGGTACTTATACACAGTGTTAATTATTGTTCTTACAATATTCCTACAAAGAAATGGAAACAAACACGTCTCAGCTTCACCAGGTGTTGGCCTGTTGAGTGTCATGACTCATCGGTAAGTATTCCCAACCCTGAAGGTTTGTCCACCTTTAACCCAATATTCAATGCAGAGTTATTTTGATTGCAGTTGACTGAGCAAATGATTCAGTAAAAATTACAAAACCAAGGTCTGTTGAATTTAAATGTGTTAAATATTTGAGAAGTAATTCAGTGAATAAGTCACATAAGTAAACCAACCTGCTTTTCCCCGAGTTGGTATTTAGACTCTTGAATGAGAAACCAAAACTTCACAAAAAAAGTAATACCTGTACTCCAATGTGATCTGAAGGGGGGAAAAAATCTCTTGGAAAACATTCAGGCATGTTTCTGTGAAATTGGTTTAAAACCAACATTTCAATTGATTAAGACGAAGCTTGTATCTTTTCCACTGAAACTATAAGATATCTCATGAGTTTCACACGAGCACAAAGAGCTTCTTATACTTGCTGTTTGGTGTCAGTGCCGTCATGTGGTTATCTATCAAATAATATAGCCTTACGATTAACAAATATTTCTCCAAGCCCAGGGGAGATAAATTGGGTCTACAGAATGGCCAGGAGCCCAGGAAGAGCCCTGATAAGAATGAGTTTAAATTGAGATGGCACCCTGCCAGTGACCGACTGGTCTTTTAATAATAACGACAATGTGTGGGCAAACAGTTGCCAAGGAATCACAACACTGGCTGACAAAAACGGAGCCATATCTGGTCTAGAAGAAGGGACTGGCAATAAATCTTTTTTTTTTTTCTAACTCAAACTGTGTAAATAACATGAGCATAAACAACAATCATGGAGACCATATTTAATCTTAATCACTGCATGTCACAAAAAAGTGGCCGTTTCATTTCCATGCATGGTTGACAGTTAAGAATAAAGAGTGTATGGTCTGTTCCTAAATAACATTCTATGTTTATATTTCTTAAAAACAACTTCTTGACAAGAACAAGTAAAAGCCCACAAGCCCAGAACTGAGGGCAGTTTTTCACACAGCAAGACTTCACTTCCAACCATGTTTTTTTTTTTTTTAATTCATCTATTATTGTCAGGGCCTATAACGTGATTTATAATGAGTTAAAACAACAGAACAAAGAAATAAATTAAGACAACGCCAATGAAGTGATGTATTCTCAGCAGACATGTGCAAGGATTTAGGACTTAAGTTCATCAGGAAAGAGGAATTCTGTCAGTGAAGGTGTCTAGGTCTTGGCATTTCTAGTTGCACCACTTTTTCCATGTGTTTTTATTTTTAAACCATCTAAAATGTTCTGGTTAAGATTCATAACATGCAGCTGCAGCACAGAGCATACAGAGACTCGTGCTTACGCTTCCTTTTAGAAGCAGAATATTTTAAACACATATGGTAACTAAGAACACACCACACCCTGTATGCAGTTAAATCATAGGAGGGGTATTACCACCTTGACTGTATTTAGTTAGTCTACTGACCACAGACGTACGTCTTAATAACAGGACCCAACCCAGGACAATCCTATCATTGCACCATCTGATAATAGCTTATAGGCGCTGTAGGATTAGGCACATTAAACTACAGTTTTTAAAATCTATACCCTACTTAATATTTTAGTTGCACATTTATGCCACTTACTAGTATATATTTAGTAATGTAGATATACATTTTTGGCTCTGTGTATTTCTGGAAGAGCTATTTTTTTTTTTACTCTAACTACTCTAACTAAATGTGTAAATTCTGAGTGTAATAAGTATTAAAACAGTTATTAAAGGTATTTTAAAATTAATATAGAGCTATACAATATTTGTTTTACTCTAACACAACTAAATGAGTGTAATAAGTATTTAAAAAAGTTATTAAAGGTATTTTAAAATTAATAACATTTTTATACTGTCCAATGGATGAAATACTTCTTACCATTAATGCGACTCTTGGTGCTGCATGGTTTTGATGTGATTGGCTCCAGCGCAAAAAATAATGTATGGATTAAAATGTGTAACAGAGTTATAAATATATGGTCTCACTTGAAATGCCAGCTTTAGATTTATCATCAAAAGAGCCACATCTGGCTTGTGAGCCATAGGTTCCTGACCCGGTCTCTATACCCTTAAAAAAACTTGGTCTGTTCATTGGAAATAAACACTTATCACCTCAATGGGTGATAAGGTTCATATTCCTTGCTCTAATTATGGCATGCAAAACAAAAATCTCTGGTGTTTACTTACAAGTGAACCATCACAGGAAAAAAAAATGTATTATGCATTAGGTTTCGCACCTTTGTGAAGACATTTAACATGTGTGATGTAGGGAGAAATTCAATTTTACAACAAGAAAATAGAAAAATCACACTAAGCTGTCTGAGATTCCCAAGCAGGATAAAGGAAGTCCAAGAGCAAAACATTCGAGTCAGGTGATGGTGAGGTTTTGGGGTAGGACCTCCTGAAATTCCAGTCTGTTTTATTTTAAGCTAATTTAAATCAGATGTGACCAACATTCTTCGCAGCTTAGCAATTCCTTTTGTAGCCTTAAAAGCGTTTGTGCCATTACTTTTTCCTCTTCTTTTTCATTTATTACTACAATCCTGAATGTCAAAGACAGTGAAGTAAGTCTTAATCTTCTAAGAATTACATTACTCAAGAATATTGACACAGGTTTATCAGTTGGTCCATCTGCCGCTGCCATCAATTCCAACATTAAAGAAAAATGAAAGAAATTAGATTCCATATCAGCCTATGGAAAACTTTGTAATAAACTCTGGCTGCACACAATTTTTCTAAAGCACAAAGCTGATGCACATCTTTTTAAACAGTTGAAAAGTGATCACATTGCTGTCTTAAGAGACTCACCTGTTTCCTCATCAATGGAAAATATCCCCAGGCCAGAACCGTCTCGTATGGAGTACCTAATCTCTCCATCCCGTCCACTGTCTTCATCCTCAGCTGCTACAGTCATCACAGAAGTCCCGTTAGGCGCATCTTCTTTTATAAATCCCTTTTCCACAAATGACCGGAACAAAGGCCTGTAGAGGTTTTCATTTACATCGACAACATCCACCTCAATGAAGCAGGTAGAAGACAACGATATGGGCCTTCCTTTGTCTTTTGCCTTTGCTGTGAGGTTGTATACCTGTTTTGTCTCATAGTCTAAATTCTGGACGATCCGCACAGCTCCACTGAGTTTGTCCACTTCGAATTTTCCATCGCCATTATCAATAAGGCTATATCGTACCTGACTGGAAGGTCCGACATCAGGGTCATGAGCTTCCAGCCACATAATAACAGTACCAATAGGAAGGTCCTCCCTTACCTTTACACGGTAGTTAGGTGGGACAAATTTAGGTGGATTGTCATTTACATCCTCCAAAGTGATCTTAAGAAGGACAGTGGAGACTAGCTGTGGCTCGTTTACAGCTTGGTCACGTGCAGCAATTTTCAAGATATAAGCTGGATTGAGCTCCCGATCCAGAGGTTTTGCTACAGTCACTACACCAGTGTCTTCATTGATTGCAAATTGATCTGTTCCTCCTGAAATGGAATATTTGACAAGTCCATTATTGCCGTGGTCTTTGTCTGTTGAGTCTACCTGGATGATTTCTGTCCCAACATTTGTTCCTTCGCTGATCTCAATTGAATAGGAATCTTGCAAAAACTTTGGACTATTATCATTGGAATCCAAAATCTTGACATCCAAAAGACGTGATGAAGATTTTTGTGGTATGCCAAGATCACAAACTGTGATGTTAAGTGTATAATGATCTGTTGCTTCTCTGTCAAGAGGGGAATAGACCTGTAGCCATCCAGTTTCCATATCTACGATAAAGCGGCTTTCCGTGTCTCCACCAGAAATAGCATATACTAGTTTCCCGTTAAACCCACTGTCTGGGTCTGTAGCACTTAAATGAATAATCCGCGCTCCAACAGGTAAGTCCTCCTTAACTTCAATAACACTCGGGAAAGACTCTGCAAACTGTGGAGTGTATCGATTGACTGAGTGAATGTCCATGAAGTTGTCATCTGGCTCAGTTTGCGTGTGGATTCTGCTCCCCTGCAGTAGCTTCTCAGCTAGCATTGTAGCAACGCCAGTTTCAACACATTTTAACTGAACAGGTTTGCGCGCAGTAATGATGGTTATGTTCATGACCATCGGCTGGGTCTCGTGCTCACCATCAGTTGCAATCATTTGCAAACTATGGAAGGACACTTTAGCAGCTTCTCCCTCAGTCAATGTGTGCTTAAGTGAAAGCATGCCAGAGTTTGGGTTTAGTTCAAACAAATCCAAATCATTCCCGCCTTTAATTTTGTACCGTACAAGCTGCAGTTCATCGGCATCTATGGCAGACACCGTTGTTATTTGCTCTCCTACACCATGGTCTCTTGGCACAGTTACTTCACAGTCTACGTTTTCAAAAAGGGGCTTGTTGTCATTAAGGTTGTTTAATGTGATTTTGACTGATGCCTCCACTTCCCTTCGGAAAGGGGATCCCCAATCAGATGCTCTGACTTTAAGATTGTAAATCCTCGGCATAAGCTCATAATCAAGGACTTCTGAGGTACTAATGACGCCTGAGAAATAGTCAATCACAAAAGGCTGAGGGCTCAGGTTGGTGATGCTGTATGTCACGTAGCCATTCTCACCCTTGTCTAGATCAGTTGCTTTAACTGTAACTACACTTGTTCCAACAGGTACGTTCTCATCAACAGTGGCATCGTAAGTTGTCTGCTGGAACTCGGGTCCATTGTTGTTCACATCAACCACATCAACAATAACTTTTGTTGCTGCCTTTTTATCAGTGGTCATTATGTCCAGTTCAAACTGGGAAGTAAAGTCAGCGCTTATTGGTCCAGCGGTGCTGATTAAGCCAGTGATGGGATTAATATTGAATTTGTTTTTGTCCACTTTGTTTCTGAAAGCATATTTTATCTGTGGATACTTTGGCACAGCTGTTACTTTAATGACAGGCGTATGAAGAGGGGCAAATTCACTCAGATTGACTCTGTAGAGCGATTTTTCAAACATAGGAGGTCCCAATTTGAACTGTGCAGAGGTTACCTGTACCAATTTAGCAGAAGAAAACTGAGGGGGGCTGCCTTTATCCTTTGCCTGTAAGGTTAGGTTGAAACCAAAGGGCTGGCTGTCCCAGTCAACTTCTTTAACAGCTTTGATTTTATACTCCTTGCTCCCAGGGCTGCTTCTAACAGCCTTAAACTGCTGCAGAGGGTCACCAGCAACAATACTCAACGATGCTATCTCTCCATTCAGACCCTGATCATTGTCTTCCACTGTCACAATAGCATAGGTGGGGTCATGATCTGTGTCAGAGGGGGCCAAGGACACTGCAGTGATGACAGGTGCATACTCGTTGGCCTGCTCCACCCTCACTGTCAGCTTGGCCATACTGCTAAAACCGCTGCTGCCATACAGCTTCATTCCTCTGTCGACAGCAAGGATCTCCAACTCGTACAGCTTTGTCTCAGAGAAGTCCAGTTTCCCAGTCAGTGTCACAACGCCACTTGTTGGATGAACAGCGAACACGTCTGTCCAATCTCTGAAACTATAGTAGTATTCTCCATTCGTACCGATGTCGGCGTCAGTGGCCGTGACCTTTGCTACACTTGTGCGTATGGCCGTGTTCTCTGATAGAGAAATGCTGTATGATGTGGGTGAGAATAGAGGCCTCAGATCATTAGTGTCCAGTACCTGTACCTTTACTCTAGTGCGACACTCAAAATTCGTGCTTCTCTCTGAGGCTTTAACAGTCAGCATGTAGTGGTCTTTAACCTCCCGGTTTAAGATGGCCGTGCTGCCTCCTTTGGTCCGTATTCGCAAAAAACTAAAATCTCCCAACTGATAGTCCTCAGCTTTGAATAAGTTCTCATTGTCTCCAGAGATGATTTTGTACCGAATCTCCCAGGTTGGGTCTGTGATATAAATCCCCATCTTGATGTGACTCTCTAAATATGTCTTAGCAGCAGAGTTCTCGTATATGGTGGCATTGTAATCAGAGTGGGTGAATTGCATGGAGGCAGCCCGCGCCGTCCTTTGGTTCCCTGCGCAACCACAGAGTAGCTGCAGGAGCAGCACAAGCAGCGAGACCAAAAGCTTTCCCATTATCGTACCGTGATCGACACAAAACCACCTGGGGAGAAGCAAAAATATCATAATTAATGACAAACATGGAAATGATCTCTTAATTTAAACAAAAAAAAAAAACCCCTAAAACTAACTTCAATAAATAATGGGACTTTATCTGTGCAGATTTTAAAGTGCTTGTAAATGCTGATTAGTAGCTAAACAAAATGAGATGAGAAAATGTGGCAGAGCAGTGCTTTGCTGATTAGTAGCTAAACAACATGAGATGAGAAAATGTGGCAGAGCAGTCAGCCAGGTGATGAGATTTAAGCCTGAACTGCTACCATGTTTGCGTAATGACACATGGTGACTATGTATATATGCAATTCAACCACCTTGCCTCATTAATCCAAGCATCACATAAATGAACCCAGAAAGGTGAAAATATATACATGTTTACCTATTGGTGCAAAAACCACTTGAATTACACAGTAAAAGCTGAATTAATATTCCCGACCATTGATTTCATACTTATTTTATTCCACAAAATGCATGAAACGGTATACTATATGAGCAACTGTGTAACTTATAACCACACTTTACTAAGAATAAAATCTGCCAACACACTCACACAGAAAGGGGGGGGGGGGTAAAATGTGTCTTCTTAAATGTACACATTACAAACGCTTTAAGCTGCAATCGCGACTGCAGCCCAATGGAAAGCAACCGAGAAAAGTGCTTTGACATCGTAGAATCATTCGTTTACGGCGGCTTTACTGCCCATCTCGTTCATTGCGTGTGCGTGTCAATACAAAGACAAATTCAAATGAAATAGGCTTCTGCGTCTGTACGAGAGGCATTAAAAAAAAAACAAATGAAATATTATTATTTACTTTTGGTGAGCACAGATTGCAGCGAACAAGGTTTGGTTGTTGCTGCTTTATTTGCGGTTAATGAGTAACAAGAGTCAAACCACATTCAATCTGAAACTATCGCCTGCAGGTACAAAAGGACCATCTGCTGGTTGGCGACCAGTTGGAAAAAAAGAAAGACATTTTCAGAAAGGCTACAGGTTTTGAAATTTTTTCAAACATAAAAAAGACAGCAAAAAATAAATAACAAGCGTGTTTTATAATATTAAACTCAAATGTCTGAAGGAGTATCCTGGTTTTACAATATTTCATGTGTAACCCCCCCATCCCCCAACTGAAGCCATTCACTTCAGGAGACGAAGACAGGCTTTCGCTCATAAAAGCCTTTCCCTCCTCCTTGTCTAACGTCGCACAAACCAGCGCAAAAAGTGTTGCTACGTCGACCGAAAAACACTTCCGTCACATCACGACGGTGTTAAACATATAGTTTGAATGTGAATAAACTTCTTCAAAGTGACTTGAAAAAGAAATAATAATAAAAAAAGCTTCGGCTCTTTTTCACAGTCTCGCTGCCCACTCACAATAGCCAACTTAACTTTTCCCCGCACTCGTTACACTGGGATGCCGCAGCTCACCGCCTAAGGCTACGAAAAACGAAAAATCAGATAATACATACCCCTTCTCTTGTTAATCTCGTAAGTATGGAGGTTTTGCATGTGGTTTGTGTGTTATTCCAAATCTCGGCATGGTAGTACGTGGACTTCTCCCGTGTCCGTTACTCCTGCCGCCACAGACAGGCACACACGCACTCACTCTCCGTCTCTCTGCTTCTACTTTTCCCCCTTCTCTCTCTCTCTCTCTCTCTGGCTCTCTCTCCCTGTCGTCCCCCCTCCCCCCTCTCTCTCTCTCTCTCTCTCTTTTCCTTTCACCGCTTCCATCTCTCTCCCACACCGGGAGAAGCCTGGTATCTTTCCGCGCTGCACATGTCCGGATCTACTTTCCCAGCTGGAACACCAGATCAACGGTCTCCGCTCGTGTCCGGTCTTCTGACCCCAAACTAGTACTTCTTATTATTCATTTTTGTCCAGAAAAGATATTTTTATTTACTGACTTTAATTATGTATTTATGACCAATGTCATTCACCTAAGTACTACCTGCTATCATGACAACTTTTTAACCCTTAACAGTCACTTCACTGAATCCATGACCTTTTCCTCTTTCAGTCTAAGAATAAAAAAGTATCTATTTATCTGTATTTAGGTCATAATTTCTTTGTGACATCGAATACTCAAATGAATGTTTTTTTCCACATTACTTAAATAGTGTAAACGAAATACATTTAAGATGATTTTGAGTGTAACATTTTGTAGAAGTATTGTGCCAAGTTGGATCAGCCGTTTTTTTTTGTTGTTTTTTTTTGGGTACAATAAGGTTTAGGTTTTAGGTTAAGTTATTGGTGTCCGTATTTGCCTTGTATTTTTTTACAATAAGAAATCCTACGTTCAAATGACTTTACTTAAGCCACGTATATCCTCACCGCTAGCTGTTGCTCCCGCTGACGCGGTGTAACTTAAAACATCAGCTGTAAGTATGAGACTTCCTCATGACGAGAAAGAGACTTTGGTCTTGCCCAGTAAGGCACCGACCTTTGTATCCATATGCTGCAATGGCAGCACCAGCCACTCTGTTACAACTGCTGTGACAAGGTTAATTTATGAGAATGTGGAAGAGCAAAAAGTTGTTCAGTGGCCACGACCTCGAACAAACTCTTAAAACCACCTAGTAATTTAAAGATAACATTTCATTTTCATCCAATATTTAGAAAAAAAATAGGCATTATTAATTGTATTGGCATGGGACCTGGGGGACTGGTGATGAATGTAATATAACTACAACAACAACAACAACAACAACAACAACAAACAAATAAGAATAGTAATATAACAAGAAGAGAATGTTGAAGAAGAGGAGTTATCAGGACATCAGAATCAATGTGATGGTCTTGTGTAAATACACGCACGTGCACGAGAGAGAGACAAATGAAAGGGGGATGGGAGGGGAGGGGAGTGGGGGGCATTAGGTCCTGCGCTATATTTCTTTCATCAGAGCACGGATCGACGCACACACTAAGTAGTGTGGCTGTTGTGCGATTGATGGCGCTGTATCCCTGCGCTTTCCCGGATCGCAGCTCCAGATGGTTCGCCTGCAGAAAACCCAGCGCCGCCGTTCAAGCTGCTGCTGCTGCTGGTGGTGGTGGTGATGGAACACGCATCTGAACAACTTCTGCACTCGTACTTTACCACGTACGGCAGTGACCGCACTGTGAGCGCAGGACTGTGCGTAATGGTGCTGGGCTTGTTTGGCACAAGTCACAGAGCACCCCCACAAATTTAAAAAAATCAACTCCGCCTTCAGGACAAAGTTTTCAAAAGTAATCACCAATTTTCTTCCAAACAAAATCTTCCATCCTTCCATTTCAGCTATACTACTCACCAGACCAGCTGGATGCCCGCTCCAGACGGCGCTCTTCACGTTAATCTCAGCAGATTTCGGTGGATGCCGTTTTCAAGCATCCTTTTGATCAGTCTGACTTCAGTCTCCGTGAGTCTCCCTCAGCGCCTTCACTTCCGATGCGCACCGAGCCTCAGTCATCGCACATCTTGGGTGACGGCGGAGGCGGCTGTACTGTAGTGTCTCGGTGATCCTCTCGTCAAATGAACCAGGTGGTGTTGCACAGCATTGCTGGCTCGAGGTGAAATCGTCCAAAAAACCCCAGTTCACTCGCAGTGGTGGAATATTAACACTTGGATCAGCAAATAGTGAGTCTTCAAGTCTCCAGTTTTTCCTTTAGGGAAAAAAGGGGACAAGGAGGGGGCGGAGTGAGAGGGACTAACCCTCATCAACTGTTGATAGGGAATACTTGATTTGCCTTTGAATTGCGTCTGCAGTCAATTAGGATTTTACCAAACAGTGCAATTAGTAATTGTTCTCAGCTTCCCAATTACGTCCTCGCGGGGAACTGATGTAAAAGAAAAAAGAAAAAGATCTTAAAGATCATAGAGCAACGAATCCCCTTGTGAATAGTCAAAGTTCACGAGCAGGGACATATCAGATGTCCTTGAAGGCAAAGAGGATCTGGCACCCGGAGTCTGAGGAAGGCTGTGACGCCATGACTTCTTCTACCATTCCAAGCATGCAGAGCTGTGTGTAGTTGTGTTTTTTCTGCCCCAAACATGGCTGTTGTCAACATGTGAATGATTGTCCTTGACCCACCAAAACCTCCTTATATAATAAGAGATAAGAGATAATAGAGATGAAATGGCACCAAAACTTCAGGAGTAACAAATGTGTTCACTCAGCCGTGTGTAGTATGTGAGCATGTGGTTAACATTGAAACTTGACACCGCATTCGAGAGAGACTGCCCGAAAAAATGTCAACCTCTTCACAGCAGAGAGGGAGAGAGGGAGAGACTGCTGGGGCTGGAGTCGACAGTCCAGTGTTAGAATCTCTGCCTAATGTCCATTCAGCACTGGCTCATTAAAGTCACATTTGCCCACAGGCTGAGTAAACGGATGAGACCTATGGGCCGTATGCATGTGTGTGTGTGCAGAAGGGAGGTAAGGAGGAGGGGTGAGAAAGATTGAGTTTGTGTGTCAGGGAGGGCGTGTGTAGTGTTTCATCTTTCTCCCCCTCTCGTCTCCTGGTCTTCCCCGCTCTGACTCTAAGTTTAGTCCTTGGACAACACTCAGGATCTGGAGCAGCCTCGAACGCACACACACCCACTCCCTCTTAGCCTCCCTTCTGATCTGCCTGTAAAGCTTTAATTGAATTCAGGTCAGGTGATGCCCAGTGGCTGTTTCCACCACCTTTGATCTCTTGCAGGTTTTTGTAGTCCTGGCTGCCGAGGATGCGTGCGGTCGGCGGGGGGCGGGAGGGGGTGGGGGTAAGGTCCAAGTGCATGTTAAAGGTCTTGCGGATGTATGTACGGAGTTTAAATCGGAGAGAACTCCTGCCGGCTCTGTAGGATTAAATAAATCGACGTCATCGAGAAAGATCGAGTTTATCAATAAGTCAGAGTGATGCGTGATTAAGCAAGAGAGCAAAAATGGAGGTGGAACTGGGGTAGCGTCAGCATGGCCGGATTTTCACCTTAATGACAAAATGTTGACTCTTTTTAAAATCTATTATAGAATTCTACGTTAAAAAACAAACAAACAAAAAACAACTCATTATACAACTACGCCACAGCTCTATGTCCCAGGCATTTTAACACATTTGTCCTGGTTTAATATGACAACAATCTGTGCCATCGGAGAACTGGAGGACCAGACTCTGAATGTTGTATATGTTAGGATTTATACTGACAAATCTTATGTTAGGAAAATTCGGAGTCACGACATGTTCTAGTGTTGTTCCGTTGTCGCTGTGTCGCTCCGGTGTCGCTCCGTTGTGGACTTTCAAATAAACCTCAGTGCAGTCTGAACACATCTTTGTTTCCTACCCGTCCACACATGGTGAATTCATTCTGGGTTAAGACCTAAAAAGGATTTCCATTCATCTCAGCATGTTGCACTTCCTTAAAAGCAGCAGGTTGCAGAAATCAAATTGTCCGGGCCACGGCGTGTGAAATAAAACCAAATCACTCCTCCTGTTTCGGTCAACATGCAACTTTTTTTTGATAGAGTGCTGAATATTTTACACACTGCTGGCTCAATTTCCGTTTTAAAAAAAAAAAAAAAAAAATTGGCTCAATTTCCGTTTAAAAAAAAAAAAATCACACTAATCTGTGACAGATTACCTTCACATTGGTGAAAGATGTTAGTAACAGGCATGAACTGGCACGCTGAGTGACTTGCTTCTCCTCACCGCATGAATAATGTCTCAAGCTCCAGAGGTTCCCCTTGCAACTTGAACCTCGATAAAGATATGGAGAAGATACAGATGATTTGTGGTAAAGCCCGCGGCAACGCAGCACCCAGGTATCTGTTTCTCCCGCTATCCAATCAGCGTAGAATCTGATTCCCGAGGCAGAGCTTAACTGTAACAGAGATTAGAATAATAATAATAATATATCAGCCCCACTTTAGTGCCTTTAACTTGAGACTCCCACCCTTTTCAGTGCTGCTGTTTGTCTTCACCAGATGCTATTCTGTGCACAACAACAACAATATGTTAATGCCAACGTCATATGCTCCAGAAAAGCAGGATGTTTATGTTTGGAGATCTGGCGTGTCAATAAGGCACTGGTTTGAATTTTGGAAAGGAGAGCGCGTTTCACGTCGAACAAATATATGCCCAAAAATAAACTAAACAACCGTTGTTCTCCCTGAATATAGAGACAAACGACTGCACTAAAAATAAAACCTACTGGTGCTCCAAGCAAAGGAGAAGATTATCATAGCAAAGCCCCTTTAGCTATAGAAGCTTCTGTGATTACCTAAAATAGATACTGTTTGTCATGTTTGGAGCAACATGGTTAAAAAAAAAAAAATCACATTTTTTTTGTTGGTTCTGTGAGTTTTAGAGCAAGTGGAAAATACAACATTAGAAAAAAAAATGCACTTTACTCTGCATGCAAAGCCAGCGTGAAAACTCACACCATACCCTTTGGGAAATCAATAACCTCCCACTTCTAACTCACAGACTCGATATTTAACTCTGCACGCGCTGCTTTCCTTCTCAAAATCATTCGTATTCACTGCTTCATAAGCCAAACAGTAGGGCCGTCTCCCTGGAGGTGTCTCCAGGTGGACCATTGAAGTGCAACCATAATGTGTTGTAAACACAGGCTTTTCTCCTTATTAGCCACAGGGAAAAAAAAAAAAAATCTATCGAGTTGCTCCGCACTAAAAAGGCCAGTGTTGA